GAGCGGCGCTCAGCGTCGGGTGCGCACGACAGCCGAGGGTCGCATCATATACGATTCGGATAGCTTAAAGCGGCGCAAGGGAGCGCACACTACCTTCGCACCTGGGCCGTACGTGAAGGAAACCGAAAGTGCGTTACTCAGTGCAATGCGAGACGTCACGGGTGAAAGTGCAACGGCAACAGCAACAGCAGCGGGCACAGGATTAGCAACGTCAGCAACAACAAAGAGCGCCAAATTATTGCTATTAAGCGGCAGCGGCATTGCGGCCAATCGCAAAGTGGCCAATGTGCGTCCAATATTAGCCAAATCTCCGCAAACTAAGACGCCCAGCAACATGACGGCCGCCTATCAGCCAGGCAACAACAGCTATCAGGAGCAGAAGCAACTGCTTGCCAACAATACGAATCCGTTTTACGAGACGATTGCACCGGCCGCCGGAATGATGCCGTCGCCTTCGAGTAAATCCAATTCATCTACTGGCTCCACGGCTACCAGTTCATCGTCGTCTACGGCGACCACGGCCTCCGTCAGTTCCGTGGAAGAAGGTAAGGCAACAACACAACTACAACAACAGCAACAACAATTGCTATCTGAGCAACATCAGCTGCAACAGCAACCAGAACGACAACAACATGAACAACAGCGACAACAATTAAATGCTAGCTGCAATAACTTATCCGCTTTGATACACCCAAACCTTGCCATTGTAAATAATACGCTACTACACTCTACTACCACAACAACAACAGCAACAGCAACAACAACCTTTAACATCAACAACAACAACAGTCAAACAAATTTGTTGCTGAGCAAGTCAAAATTCGCATCAATGAGCAGCATTTCAAGTGTACAGCCAAGTCCCCCCACAGAGTGTGGCACGCAAGTGAGGGTTGCTGTTGCCACAGCAACTAACCCCCAATTCAGCCCCCATCTAACAACAGCCCCAGCACCGCCACAGCTGCCGCCCCGAACGAAAGTAAATGGGAAAGCTGCTAGCCGAGCACAGGCCGTTGCAATACCCACGCCCGATTTGCCGCCTTTATCGATTGACCCAATTGCTGTAACGCAGTTTTCCATTTCGAATGCAACTGACATCTGCCCCAGCCCCAGTCCGAACCCTACCTTCAAGCCCACGCCCACATCTACTGTCTCTGAGAGCAAAGGCCGCTCTGTTGCGCTGAAGCGCAACAACAGCTATAGGCTGGCCAACGATGAGCTGAAGCTGGAAATGAATAAGGAAAACTATTTGCAGGCAACAGCGCCTAACAGTGCATTGCCCCCCATGTCGCATGCAACAAGTTCGCTCAAATTGCGCAACCTGAGCAATTTGCAGTTGGTTGCAAACGCAACCAGTTCAAGCAGCCCCGTTGAACGCAAAATAGCCAAATCCTTTGAGCGCTTGGTCGATGAGTTCTCCCTATCGACCACTTGCATTGACTCTTCCTATTTGAAGAACAAGTCGCTAGAGAACTTTGATGACTCCACCGCTTTTCATGTGGCAGACGGCGTGCAGCCAGACAATGACAATGCCAGCAACTCGGACTCCGATGAGGAGGACGAGTCGGAGGCGGAGCTGCCGCCCACACCACACAGCAGATATCACAAGTCTTTTGTGGAGAGCGTCTTGCTGCGACCCTTCAAAATAATCTTACCCAACGAAGATAACGGTGCTCGACGCCAACGCCTTTTGCAAAAGTTTGAGGTAACGGAAATCTGGTAAAGCGCAGCGGCTCATTAACTTGACCTTTAGTTAGAAAATAGCTGCAGCAGCAACAGTCCCTCTACATGCAGCCAGCCCCCACTTTGCTGCACGTTCTCAAGTGGGCGTCTTGAGCAAACACTACAAAGTAATTGTCTATGTTAGCCAGGCCTGCCTGTGGCGTGGCATCCTTTATGTTAGTCTCTTAGTCTACACACAGTCAACTCTTTGTTTCGTACGTGTTCAATGGGCTAGTGTTGCCAGAAGCGAGCTCCTAATGGTATTCATTGGCATTTGGCTACAGGTTCAATGCCCAAGCTCGTTCCATTCAATTTATGAACAGACTGCATACGGATGTAGGATAGGAGCTTAGCTTCTGTAACGGCTGCAGCCAACTTAATATGTTTACCAAACACATTGACGGCAGCCAACTTAACAAGTGCATGCAAATTGTTAGTGCTGCCAGATCGTTGCGAAAAGAGTCAACTCTAATGCTTAAGTTCCCTTTCAGCTGTACACTTGAAATGTTGGCGATTTGATTGAATTGGTTTTAACTAACTGAAGTTTGTTATTAACATGTTTTTATTCTTAACATATATCCAGACTTTGTTCCGTTTCATAGTGCGCAAACTTTGTCAATTTTGATTTGTTTAACTAACTGTTTTCTTTATCTTAACCATCACCTGTAATTAAGTGTTATGTGTGTGTACTTAAACTATATGTTTTCTCCTTTTTTGTCAACCCCTAACTGTAACTAATGATAGTATTTAAGCTGATTTTTGTTTGATCAAGTTTTTTGCACCGTTTATGTTTTGTTTAAAGAGAAAAAAATAATTATCACCTGTATGCATTAAGTTAATTAATTTAACCCAAATTGTGACGCTAATTTTTTAAGATGCCAAATTCGAATTGATTTGCTCGATTCTCAATTATATTTATTACATTCGAACAAGCGTGCAGAAAACTTCTATTGCATAACTTATATTGTTTATGTATGTATGTGTGTATATATTGTAGTAGTAGTAGTTTTTTGCACCTTGCCCAACTAACGAAAATCATAACCGTTTGTAGTTGTTTCTCACTTAAAAATCTTTAAAAAATTAGCGCCTGATTTGCAAACGAAGGCACATGATAAGCTATACACATGATAAGAACTACATACTTAGCTAAGTAGAGCTCCTAAGTTCAATCACATTCCATACAAAACCTAAGCCCACCGATCGTAAGTAATATTAAAAAATAAAAATAAAATTGCAAAAAAAAAAGAAAAAAAAAGAAAACCAGAAAATCGCATCAATCATTGGCATTGTGTAGCATAAATAGACAAGAAAATTGACTCATTCACTGCATAATACGGGCATTGGTTATAGCATAGACACTGCACCGCACCACACCCACCACCCACCCAATCCACCATCATGCAACGCATCCATTGCACCACTTGTACATATATACACACACGCTCCTTGGGACAACTCAGACAGACAGGTAAAAGTGGCTCACAGGTACGTACGGTTTGTCCTTGCTTGAATGCTTTTATCGATCGAGTTCTAATTGAGTTCTCTTCTTCTTCCTTTTTATTATTGGGTAAACGCACTTTAAAAAGAAAACCGCCTACTAAAAAGCTAATGCAATTCTGTGCACAAATATATGAATTTCAATTAAACGACTTTGTGTTCGACCTTTTGTTTTCCGTAGGGTATCAACGTTTCTCTAATATCTATGAGCAAGTGCAGCCAGCACAGTTGAATACACAGGCCGGCGATGCCACGCCCTTTCAGCGCAATGCGCCTGTTTACTGGACGCTGCAGAGCCGACGCAGCCAGCCGAAACCGTTGTCCAGCGGCAATGCAACGTGCCGGGATGATCTCTATGCCACGCCCATACGACGTGCCGAGCGTGTGGCACGTGCAGCAGCCGCAACAGCCGCTGCAACAGGAAATGCTGCAGCAGCTGCTGCTGAGGGCCGAAGCAAATTGTCGCCCATTGTGCCAGGGAATGGCAACGGCGCCTTCCTGACCTCAACGCCCACGCGGTCGGAGACAAGCATTACGGAGAATGTGCCGCCCATGAAGCAGCCGTCACGCAATTGGAACGATAATTCGCCGGAGCGGCTGAACACATGTGCGGATCGCATTGGTCAGAGCAAGACGACGCTGATGGACTTCAAGAAGCTGTTGCTGGCCAAATCCGCTAAGACGAGCCCCGTGCAGCGCAAGATGTCTGCCGTGGAGTTGCTTAAGAAGACGTCGGCACCGGCGACAAGCAATGGGAATGCGCCGAGTCAAAAGACGGCCACTGCGACGCCTGGTGCGTCGAAGCCGACGCTGAACTCCAGCTTAAAGCTGCTCGACTTGAGTGGTTCGCCAAAGACGTTTGCCAATCGCAGAATGTTGCGCCAGGGCCAATTCGGTTCGCCCTCCAAGACTTTTGTGCCGAAAATACGGGGCCCCAATGCCGCGGTCGCCTCGGTTGTGCCACGCACGGACATCATGTCAACCATAATACCGGAGGCTAATAGCGATGAGGATCACTCCAACAACAGCGGTGGCTCGCGGGCCGGCTCCGAGGCGGATGAAACGGCGGCGTGCACCGTAGCCAACAGCAATAGTCCCAGCTCTGTGGCTGTCTCTAGTTTCGATCTAAAGCGGAATTTCTTTTTGCAAACCGATGAGAATAACTTTATGCGTGGTGAGCTGAAGCCCAGCTTTGGCAGGAATGCCGGCGCCCCAACTGTAGCAATCAGCGCAGAGAGCAATAAATATGTGAGTGCGCCCACGTCACTGCCAGCTTTTGAGACGGCGCTGTAAAGAATTAGGGACAGCAAATGCGGGTCAAACCTGTCGCTGTTGTCCGCCGAGGGAAATGGGAAATGACCGTAACGATATACATATGCATACATACATAAACACATAGATACATACATACATACATTATATACATATTCCATAAGCAAACGTAAATATAGATAAGCAATCGCACTTGGCGCCTCACCACATCCCCTCAACACAGATAGATGGACGCTGGAAAATAGCATTTACTTATATTAAATATTAAATGATGGAACGCATCTATGTTCCAAGTCAAAACCGATGCTACTTTATGCAGAATTATACAGCTTATACAGCTCTAGATTTAAATATACTTATTGAATGCTATATACAATTATATCCCTTATACAGTAAATTGTATTTTTTAAAAATGTGCTGCTTGTATAGATCGAAGTATTTTATACACGAATCGTCAAATATTTATTTGTAATTTTACGTTATTTATTGCAATTAAATAATACCTTACACGCATTTGCTCTTTATTTTGTACGTCTATTCAATTCGGAGGAAGCGCAAATAAATAAAATATTAAAAGAAATCAAAAGCGTTCCAACTGATTGTTTATTTAAAATCTAACTAAATCCAACTGCGGCCAACGCTGCCGGATCTATGCTTGCCCGACGACTTGTCGCCGCCATTATCCTTGCGTGACAGCACCGGGGAGCTGCCGGAGCCAATGTTTCGTATGAGCAATTTTAGCCCACGTGCCTGCCCCTCGCTGGCTTGGCCCACAATGTTCGCCTCGGAGGCAATAATACAGAAGTCATCGACTATATGACCAGGTGGACTGATGTCGAAGGGCAAGATGTCGCTTAAGCTCTGTTGATGTCGGCACGTGGTGCGACGACGAGTGCTGCCTTCGCCACCACTCAGATTCTGTGAACTAGATGCATTGGCCAGCTGCTGTTGTTCTTGCTGCAGCTGCAGCAGGCGGGCGCGTAGTCGGGTATTGTCGTCCTGTAGACGCTGCATGTAAGCAGCCTCCTGTTCGGCACGCACAAACGTTGGCTGTGGCAGGCATTGGTAGACAGTGGTCAGAAAGTTACGCAGCGACAGCAGCAGAGTGTCCTGCCACTGCTTGGTAAAGTAGAGTGCAAATATGGGAGACTCCTCCGCATTTTTACAGAATGAGAAAACTGTAAAGCAATTTAGATTTAAATGGGACTTGCGAATCCAAGTAATTGTTTTTCTTACAGAACCAGTCCTTCCACTCGCTTTGTTGCTGAAGTTCGCTGGCCAATTTATTAAAGAACTCAGATATTTTATCCGCTTTATTGTTACTGTACGCCGATACTAGATAATATTTTAGCAGGCTGTTTTCCAACTTCTTGACGGCTACAAAGTAAGTTAAACAATAAACAATTTTAAATGAAGAGTCACGAGGCTTACCAGTGGCATATGTGTGATCCAGCTTACTAAACAGGTTGTTCTCCAAGTGAAGCCAAAGACTGCGAAGCGTCTTTAGATCCGATGTCTGCACGGCAGCATTAAAGTGTTCTATTAAGCGCTCTGCCCTAAAATGTTGATCCTTTTCGTTACGCTGCTCCACATCCAGGGCTTTCAGTGTGTTTGAATATCCCCGAAAAATTAAGTACTCCCGCAGCATGCTATCTAAATAAGCAACCTGAGCCATTATTTTTGTTTACATACAGTATATCAAAATAACGCTCAGTAATTTTTATTAAAAAAAAAAAACAAGTAACTGTTCCTCTCCATCCGTGTTTATTATTCAATTTGCCGTGGTTCCAAATTTTCTGTATGATAAGTACAAGGGTAAAAACAAGCTCATACTGTGAATTCGCTGCAAAGTATTCTTTTTTCTCTGTACGCTGGTAACACTGTTCAGGGCAGATTGTCGGATTGATATATTCAAAAAAAAAAAAACTGAGATAACATAGGCTACAAATTGAACAAATATTTGTAACTTAAAATTTCTATTACAAATTGCTTCAAGTGATGTTAAATGCTGGTGTTGAACTGCAACTGCATCGTCTATTTAAAGGCTGCATATATATCGATAGTTTAAATACTATATGTAATTTATGCATAAAATCTGGTCACACTGACAATTGTGTAGATATTTCTGCGTAATACTTGTGATAGTAATATTTTGATTAGCGAAAACAAAGGCGAATCACGTTAAAAGAACCAAAACGGAATAAATGCAGCTGGAAAAGCAACATTTGAAATATGAGTCGAAAGGGAACAAAAGATCAAAATGATATATCGCTAATCATTGGGACTCTACCGAAACGGCTACAGAACAAGTTCGCTGCAAGCTGTAGTCACAACAGCCACGCAGCAGAGGATGCTGAAAATGCGGAACCAACTCCACCAGCCATTACAAGGCCAGGTATTATTGACACATGAGTCACTCTTAAGCGCGCAATAATTAACTGACAATTTTTTGTATGTCTGTATGTTTATCTGTTTCTGTTTTGCGCGCGCAAAATGCATATTCAGTCCAAATATTGAGAAAGCCAAAGAGAAATGCTGGGAATACGACAAGAGAAGTATCCGCACCCGTTTTGGATACCAGCGGGGGCAGCAGCAGCTTGGAAAACAAATCGACGGATGTGGGAATACCTGGTATACTGCGGGTAAATGCCAGTCCAACATCGATTATAGCTACGTGTAATGCAGACAGCGTGAGAGCTGTGCACGGTACACGCAGACGCAACCGTACACACTCTGCACGGATGCACGATCAAACCCCATTGTCGCCACTGTCGCGCGTACGTCTTACCACCGACCATCCAGTTTGGTTTGAGCAGCTTCTAAATATGCCAAATGTCAAGATTATTGTGCAATTGTACGATCAGCTGATGGTACTGCAGCAACGTAATCTTATACTAATCGTAAGTGCTTGCAATTGTGAAAATGACTCAAATATTAACTACAGTGATTCCAGAATTGGAAGAACTTTTGCTGTTTGCACGCACAGTTGCAGGAGGCCTTTTGTTGTTTATTGCTGGAACAGCTTAAATTCGTGTGTGAGCATAAAGTGGATGCATTCTTCTGGAAGTTACTCTTCTATAATGTGAGAGAGTATCTAAGACGACAACAAACTGACATAGCACAAAGCCACACCTTATTGCTCATCGACCAAACTATCAAGTTTTATCGAGCTCTTTTTGACAAGCTTATGGCCAAGTACATCTCGGCACGATGTGAGAGCGCTGTCAAGGTCGTCGCTCAACGTTTGCTTATATGTTTGGGCGACTTGACACGCTATCGCGCCAACCAGTTGCAATCAACGGACTTTGCAGAGGCATGCAAATATTATCAGCGTGCTCAGGAGCTAGTTCCTGGCAATGGAGCGCCCTACAACCAACTGGCTATTATTGCTATTTATAACGTAAGCAATTGCTCAAGTATTTCAGATTGAATTTATTTATTGAACACTGCTTTGCATATTTGTTGTACAGCACAAACGCTTCGATGCAGTATATTATTACATGCGTAGCCTTTTGACATCCAATGCTATACAATCAGCAAAGGAGAGTCTTCTCGATTTGTTCGATGAAATACGCCGGAGATATGAGGAAACCGAAATGAAGCAGTCGCCAATGCATTGTGCTCCTAGCAAGTCGAAAAAGTCGAAGCAAATGCGCAGAGAAGTCTGGATTTATCCAGATGGCATTAGACGCCTACATAGAACTGATGTCAAAGCCAAGGCCAAGAACAAACCAGCTATATCCGAAGTAAGCCGCTATGACGAAATGTCACCCCAGGATTTGCTGCCACGCGTTGTGTCGTTGTATTTGTATTTAATCGGAAAACTATTTACAGCCACTGAGTAAGCCATCGAAATGATTCAATCCAACGTCTATTATATTTTTCGTATTATTTTCAGCATTGAGTGCATGTACCTACAGCTAGGTAAGCTGCAGATTCAGCTCGGTGCGGCTTTGAAATATGACAATCTGCTATCGCGTAAAATATTGAAAATGGTAGCGCTTAACGTGTTTGTACTGGAGCATAACAAGCTTAAAGGTAAATAAAAAGTTGACTCTCATTATCTATTTATAAAAATAATGAATTATTCTAGCTGATCGTCGTGAGATGCGTTATCATAGCTTCAACTTTGCCAATGCATTGTTTGGTCTTATGCTGAGTAGGGCCAACCAATTGCTCGCTAGCCTTACAGAAGAGTCAACCGATTTACAATGCTTTACAGATGAAGAGTATGTGTTGTTTGTGCTCTCGTAGTTCTTGTTTTACATCTCGTCTCTTTGCAGATTAGCGCTTATTAATACCTACATGCAGTTTGTGAAAATCTACACACAATGGCTGACAATTAATGTTAATCTTTGGGAGCCAGTGCGCTCAGAGGAGTAAGTCTGATTTTATTGCTATTGTTTCGTTTTTAGAATACTATTTTACCATTACAATAGCCACTCATTCATCGACTGTTGGGCGGAGCTACAAATTCTATTTGATCACCTTGAAATCATATATAACAAAGTGGATAGGGACATTGACGGCGGATTAGACAATGTCGTGCTGGATGAGGATATTGTGTTGAGCGGCTTTGAACCATTAGGTCGGGATGTAGCCATCAGAGATGGTGCCAAGCGTGGCTCTGAGCGGGCGCAGTTTATTGAGCGTATTCGGAAAATATTGCAGTTCCAGGAGATTTACATACAGCATCAGGAGTCATTGCAGCAACCCTTGAACTCTAGCTTTACAATTGAGGACCTGAACACCGCTATGCAAGTGGCACTCAATAACTTTGATGTGGATAGCTGTGTTGTGTCCACATCTACAGAAAGTTGCGGTTCGGAGCCAAATATGGAGGAAGTGGATGCAAATTGCTCCACGAGTGCAGATGCGGATATATCGCAGCTCTGCAAGTTAAAGAAAGAGCTCGAGGCAAAGGCCAAAGTTAAACAAATTTGCAACAGCAAGCTTGAGCAAATTCTGAAATTAGTCGACACCAAACTGTACATTGAGGTGCGTCCGCGCTACCTTTTGCCCGACACCAATTGCTTTATCGATTGTCTAGAGGACATTGAAAAGCTGTCGATGGAATTCAAGCGCTACACGATTATCATACCACTGACGGTGGTAAAAGAGCTAGACGGACTGTCTAAGGGCGTCAAATTGGATTCGTATCGTAGCTCCAAGCAAACACAACGCATTCATCATTTTGATGAAGTATCATCGCGTGCTAAAAAGTCATTGGAGTTTATAAGATCGGCCAAACATAATGTGAAGTAAGGCAATTAGTTTTAAATTCATCAAATCGGTTTTAATGATTTCGTTTTCCATTGTAGATGTGCTACAACAAAAGGCTCTGTTATAAATGCTTCGTTATTTGCACTCGTTGAGGAGGAATATGCCTCCAATGATGATAAAATTCTCGCAACCGCAGTTGCTGTTTCAAAGAACGCCAGCTCAGAGCAATGTAGAGGTACATCTCCCCCATTTTAAACTCTTAATAGTTGTGATAGATCAAAACATTGTATATTTACAGATGGCAAATGTTTCATTCAAACCGAACTGGTGCTCATCACCACCGATCGGAATTTGAGGGTAAAGGCATTGGCGCGCAATCTAGCTGTCAGCGCCTTGGATGAGTTCTTACAATGGGCCAAAGACTGCCGCGAATCAACCTGAGTGTCAACGTTGAGGGACAATTGCGATATCGTGCTGGCAATTATCAAGTAATAGGTTCATCCACCTGCGCATGCATGCTGTGAATAGCGACTTTGTTCTATCAATATTACCATCATTAGACATATTTGACTATGTATGTTACGGCCAAGAGCCGTAGCACACGTAAAATTGGGACGTGGTTCAGCGTTTGAAGTCGAAAGCATTCTTATCTGCTGGTGTACTACGCGTGAGGTTTTTGCCAAGTCCATACGGCTTGAGATATTTGGCTAACTGACATATCAATATTTGCTTTCCAAATTTTAACTTACATTTGTGACTTGCGTTTAAACAATAAATAAATTTGAATGGTTGTTTGATTAACTGTATTTTTCTTATACATGGGCTAACGCTTCCCAATGCTTTCTTAGCTTATAAACTTATACTTTAAAAGCTTATGTAAAACTCGCAGCAGTTTTCAGGTCTTTAAATTTCAGCTTACAGCTGCTAAGCATTCTGTTTGGTTTTCCCTATTACCCCAAGTAGTTGTGTGGTTTAAATATAGTTTATTGAAAACTAATTAAAAGGTGTACATGTTATATTTTGCTATGCATTTTGTACCTAAATATACTCTCTTTGATGTAGAAATATAAAAACTATGTTTTATATGCAAATCTAATAATCACATTCGATTTAAATCTAACTTTAAAAGCGAAAAACAAAAACAATTGTAGCTGATAGACTATAGAAACAACAACAACAGCAGCACAGCGATTATTCTATGTGGCATTTGATGCTCAATTCCAAAGTTGTCTCAGTGATTTTTCAAATCAAATATTTCACGTAATAAAGGTTCCACCTGGGAAGGGTTCACATTCAGATAAACATTAATGATGAATTTATTCAGACGCTCCACATCTGAAATCTTTTGTATCAATCGAATAAACGCGTTCTTGGCTTCGCAGCCCGGATAAACGCTCTCCAGGTATCTTCGCAGAAGATAATAATAGGAATTCTGAAAATGCGATTTATAAATTTGATTTGTATTTAGTGAGCAAGCGTATAATTTACTTGGTCCAGCCTAATGGCATCCTTGTGAATAAGACGCGCTCGCGCCGGCGTAAAGAGCACAATGGCACACATTATTAGAATAATGTTTTCATCCATTCGCCATTTCTCATCAAACGTGCTAATAAACTTTAGATGCTCTTCATAGACATTTCCTTTGGCAAACTTTAGTAAATCGGTTCGAATGTTTGCCATATTCTCTTTGGTGTGTGGTACCTGCAAAGGGAGTATAGACGATAATTTACAAAATACATTTACATTGAATAAGGGAATAAGGTCGCTTACTTTCCAAGCACCTCGATCGTTGTCATATATCATCACTGAACGCATTATCATCATTTCGGTGCATCCTCCTTTGAGCAATGCTACTTGATCCTCTTGGCACATGTCACGGAATGCACTGATCTTTTTGGCCATCTTAATGAGACGCTTTATAGCCACTGCCGTCAGATTGATAAGCTGTAACAGCTTTGGACTTTGTCGTGCATCGTCGGGCTATGGGGTGAATGGGGTTGAATGTAAATAAAATTGATAACATTAATTATCACATCAATCGCGTTTGTCTATAAGCTATGATTCAATATTGAGAGTCGACGCAACCGCTTATCAGATCGTAGTACACCTGCGAGCTCCACATTTTTAGAAATATATCAGTTTTCCTAATTAACAGCACAAAATGTGCTAATCGAATCGGAACACCAGAGGTAAACAGTCAATACAATGGCTATAAAGGCTACCAGCCAGCCAAACATGAAATTTGTTTCACTTCTCCAGCCACTGGGGGTTATTTATGTGCGCCTGCTATGGCTGGTGATAGTACTTTTTGTGATAGTACCGTAAAAATGATTGCGAGACTGATAAAGCTATCAATGGTGTTGGATTCAACCGCCTTTGGTGCGTGTTGCTGATATCCAGTGTGTGAAGTGTCTGGCCTAGCTCAGCAACAGGTGTGTGTATTTTATAGCGACATTGCCTAATGTTTTTTGTTTACATTGAGCAGGGTGTGCGTGCTGGGCACACAGAAATTGTCAGATGCACTGAGTCATGCGCCAGGTGCTAACTGTCTATCGCCTTTGGCTGTGCTCGATTAGATAAGTAAGCGTGCAGGTGTGAGTGTAAATTTGGACTTTTGCTAAAAATAAGAGGTACGCGGTCACCTTAATGCGCTCGTCGTTCATCATCAAGGCACTGAGATCTTCATCAACTGGATCGTAGAGGGCTTCACTGGCCAGGCGCAACTCGCGCAGCTTCATCTGTTCAGCCTCGTTCAGGTCGCGCTCCATAAAAATGCTCGAGGGTGCGCAAATGGGCTGTTGGTGCTGCAAATGTTGCTGCGTGCCTTTGCAGCCCCCATACGTTTGCTCCTGACTCATATAGGACGATGGCATGCCGCCAGCAGCATGATACATTTCATCTTTAATGCGTGATGCGGGTGTTTGCAAACTGTTAAACGCCTGATACTCTAGGCGTATGACTTCTGATAGCACAGACTCTATCGAGTTAATGCTGACGCTTCCATCCATGCTGAACTCATCATTAAAGCTGGGTTGATTAAAGCCCTTTACATCGAAATCTGGCGAATTTGCTATGTAGGGCAAGGAATGACTGCCCGATGTGCTGGGCAGCTCATCTGGCATATAGTTCGTACTTGGTGACTGATAGTGCAAGTCAATTGGGATATTACTGGTTGGGCTAGCAATGCTGCTTAATGGCGAGGTGACCACGGTTTCTCCTGTGTTTATGCTACTCATGCTCCCCGACGGACTACCATGCAGCATGGTCTGAATGACAGTGTCAACGCGCACATTTTGCGACTGTTTGTCACACTGTGGATATTGGCCCAACTCCTGCTCCTCATCCACATCGTTGTCAGCATTCCCGTGTATGGGCTTCTGGTCAGTTTCGGTTGCCGTGTTTGTGCCATTGAAAATGCGATTTAACATTTTGAGAGCCTCAGCAGGTGTGTTCATAAATTTGTTCATTATGTCAATGGCATTCTCCGGAGACTTCATCAGATTTTGCATAAACTCAACTACATCTTTGGGAGAATCAACAATCTTAGAAATTATTTCAAGGCCATCTGTCGGTGAACTCATAAATTTGGTAAATACTGTTAACGCATTGAAAGGCGAGTTCATAATTTTACTTATGATTTTAAGCGCGTCACCTGTAAAAAGTAAGAAGGTTAATACATTATCAATATATTTCAATTACAAATATATTCACCTGGATAATCGATCAAATGTGATACAAGCTTTAAGGCATCTTTTTGTGATTCAATGATCTTCTCCATAACTGAGATAGATTCCTTTTGGGTACGCATTAGCCGGTTAATGGCCTGGCAAGCGCGATCTGGATCAGCTACTATCTCATCAACTAGTTGATCGGCTGTCATTAACAGTGGGTTAGTTTCTATTCGCCGATCAATCGGAGGTCTGTTTGTGGTTGAGCTAGCTGGTCCCATGGGCCTACCATTGGCGTCACTGTCGGGTGAGCCACAGCTTTGGGAGTCTTGCGAGCCGCCATACATGTCCACATTGCAGCTGCTATCTGCAACAGCACCAGCTACCTTGTTGTCATCTGCATCTGCGTCCGCATCGGATCCGCCATGCTCCATCATACGGCGTTTGGCACGATTGTTTTCTATTTTGCGACGCTTGATTAGTTTGTCCTCCTCGGACATAATATTCTCGCTTTTCATTCCAATATCCAGACATTTTTTCAGACGGCACTTCTGACAGAAACGGCGGGTGACCACGGTAATCTCGCAATTCTGATTAAATGGGCAGGTGAACTGCTTTTTAGCCAGCGCATTGCGTCTAAAGAATGCCTTGCAGCTTTCGCAAGTAACGGCATTGAAATTATACCCCAATGCCTTGTCGCCGCACACGGCACAGTTCTTAGGGGGTGACATATCGCCGAGCCCTACCTCTGCCTCTGTTTCTGCTTCTGTCTCCCCAGCTTTCAATTAGAATTGTGATTGATTTTTTAATTGCTCTGCTTTGTTGTGGACTGGCCGCGAAAACTTGCTTAGCTTTTAGCGTTACTTCTTTTTACAGCACTAATGGTTGTTCTTGGTCCTCAAACATTTTCCTCTTCGGACGTCCTGTTTTATTACACCTTTTGCCCCGCGATTTCAACACGTATAAATTAGTAAGTTTCGTTATCACCACATATTTTAATTAATGGGGCCCTCTTCTGTGTTGTTCTCGCACCGTGTTGGTGAAAGAGCCATTCTCCGATTAAGTCGACACAAAACTATCGATATATATCAGCTGTGGGATGAATGTGTTTAAGGTGACTGGCAACATTTCGCTCATTAGCTGTGACTGCCAGAAGCTTTAGAAAATAATTATATTTTTTGGTGCGCTGAAAGAAAAAATTAAATAAAATGAATCGCGTGAAAACACGGACTTCAAAAACCGGCGAAATTGTTGCGTACAGTGAGGGCGCCATTCGTAACAATATATCTGCGGTCGAGTATTGTCGCACGTCGATGGCCGCAATATCCGGCTGTGCTGCTGGTAAATTGATTAATTTTAAATTAATTGAAATTGGCTCTGTTTGTAACCTACAATTATCTCCTAGGTATTTTGGGACTGAGCGGAACTCTTGGATTCTTATTTTATTTTCTGTCGGTTTTCGTGCTTTGGTTACTGGTGCTGGGAAAGTCGGGCACACAGTGGCGCAAGTATTTCATTAATCGTAAAAACCTACTGACGAACCAATTCATGGGCGGCCTTTGCACCTACGTGCTATTCTGGACATTCTTGTATGGCATGGTTCACGTGTACTAACAAATGGTGAATTATTTCCATGCGAATAGACAAATAAACATAGCTTAAGATTTGGATAGGCAAAATGGACAAAACTTGGCATTTTTTCTTCTATTTATAACTAGGTTTGTACGGCGGAAGCAGCTGCTGCTGTTCCCGAGCAGTCGCACCAAGGCGTTTTATTTACATCACAATCAAGTAATATATTAAGAACCGTTATGTTTATCTTATCGATCGATAGATCATGTACCTTAAGTATTTTGTAGTTGACGTTATTTAGGCCTGTGTTGTGGTCCCTCTTTCGTGTCATTTCCTTCTGATTAAAGCACTTTTGTGTGTCCCGTTTGCGATGGTGGCGATTGTGTATATGGCTAGAGGAGGGAAATCTATTAATGCAATGGTTTGGAGATGGTTGCCCTGTGCTGTTACCTAAAAGTATCATTGATGCCAGTCTTTATGTTTTGGGGACGCGTGACCTGCAAACCAGCATCCCGAATGCGCACAAAAAATTCGTCGTCCTCTAATCCCCAGCCCCAGTATTGGTTTGACATTCCATTCATTTGATTGAAGTGCTCGCGACGCACTAACAGAATGCCACCAACAAAGTTATCGTAGTGGTATTTCGGATGCAATTTGGGTCCAGCAATGTGCAGGGGCCCCAAGCTACTGGGATACTCATATAATAAGTCTTTGTTAAGTGGCAGTAGATCCACGTCATGCATGGCAATATAGTCGTAAACATCGCTGGTGAAATGGAACCCAACATTGATAAGTGAAGCACGATTGAATCGGAATCTGTCTACTTGATTTAGCACAAATATATGGTGCTCGACGCCTTGTTTACGTAAAAACTTCGTCAGATGCGGCACAAATTGGAGTAACTCCTCGAACCGGTCCCGAAATGGTACCAAAATTGCCATTTTATGTCCCGATTCCATGTTGATTACATTCTCCTTCGCCTGCTCTTCTCCAATTAGGCTACTTAGAGGGTTCTTCAGCGGACATATACAGTCTAAAAGGAAACCGCCAATGTATATTTATAGACATTTATTATTAGTACCTTTTACCTGAGCTGAGCGGCATAAAACTGAGCACCGCAATGGCCCCTATACAAAAAGACAGGCCGCACACGAACAGCCAGTTTATTGTTGATATGTTGGCCATCTTCATTTAGCTTACTCTATAACTAAATGTTGAGCTATGTGTTTAAACTACGTCACGCCATATAAGAAGACAAATGTTTTATTACAGGTGCTCGAAATTTACTCTGCAGCTGTTTTGGTCTGCTATCAGTGATGACATTTTTTTCGATAAGGGGGACGGGAACGGTTACTCGACAAGAGTTATCGATAATACATGTGCTGGCTTATAAAATTTAAATATGAAATTTCAAATGCAAAACCCGTTATTAGTATTTATTTAATGCAGCCTGGTCAATCTAAATCTAAAATAGCAAAACCAATCTAAGTCGGTGTAAATTTCTACTTATATCATAATGATAAAAACTAATCGAAGTCATGACAAAAACTGGACAACGTTAAGCGGACATTTTTCTTTGTAAAAGATTTTTAAGCCCTTATCATGGCTAAGATAATCTACTATTATGAGACCATCAGACAATGCGCAGATATTAACACGCTCCTCTTTACATTTCAATAAAAAGCGTTGTATTTATTTATAAGATTACAAAGAAAGCTTGCATATAAATTACGATAATTATGGAAACACAAGAGCTGTTCTTAAAAGACATATAAAATAAATAAGGTCTACATTAAAATTTATTTATTTATTTTTATAGTTAAATACTTAAAAACTGTAACTATATTTAGAGATTATATAAATCTAATTGTTGTTCATATTTATTGTGTGTGGTTTAATAACGCTTCGAATTTTCAGCATACCGCTAAAGCTCAAGCGACTGAAATTTTTGATATTTGTAAATTGATGTTACACGGTTTAATTTAATAGCAACGCGGCATGTTGATATCCTACAAAATATAGTTTACAAAATTATTGACTACTTCAATATCTACTGTTTTAGTGCACTTTTCAATCAGTCGAGCAATAGCAGTAGCCTACAGATGATTCGATTGCTTGTTATAGTTTCCGTTGTCTGTTGACTTTTAAAAAACTCTATGTTAATTACTTTTCTTTTGTTTCCTACCACAGATGGATTTGTGCGTGGGTAGCGCAAATGCATTGACAAAAACTTTAAATTCAATCCATAAAACTATGCAATTCGTAGTTCGTTTGTAAAATTGCTATAAAAACTAGTTTCGTTCGTTTCTTCATTTTACACATATTGTATATAAAAGTATAAAAGCATGGGAAAGTTTATAGAAGATATATGTATATATATTTTTATCATTATCTCAACTCAATTGAACTGATCTAATTTGATCTTATTTTGCGCGTGTTTTAGGCGGATTTCGTTGCTCTTACAACAAAAGAAGACTAGAAGCAACAATTATACACAAAAAATAATAATGTTTAAAATAAGATGACTAAAATACTATAAAAGCGCATTGAAGAAAAGTATTGCTATTAAAAAAACAAACAAAAAGAAACGGCTTGTCCATAGTCAAAACGTCGGGGCTTCGTAAAGTCATTGATTGTGTTACCAAAATGTTCTGTTCTAGGTTTTGAGAGTCTCCTGAAAGCGATCGCATTTTCTGTGGGACCACAATGAACAACTTTACAAGGCGCATCGCACGATGCTATGGTTTCCTATATATGGGGTTCTTTCAAAATACGTAAGTAATTCATTTTTTAGTGAGCGCGTTCTAAATTAATTGCACCTATACTATGTATACAGTACAATATCACTGGTTGCTTCGTCACGTAACCTAATCCGAAACAAATTGAAAATCAATTGAAAAAGTGCGAATATCTAATGGCAAATCTAAAGTTACAAATTTTCTCATTCGATCTGATATTATTTGAATCTAATCAAGTGGGTCGCATTATTTTCACCAGTTTTGGCACCTTAGTTTTTTGTTTTCTTTGTGTTTTTTTTTTTTGTTGTTTTTATATGTTTTGTTTCTGTTGCTATTTCGGAGTCTATTTTTTCTATTTTGTTCTTGTTTCTTTAAAAAACGTGAGGAATGCAGCTCTGTGGGCGCAATTTGGGCTGTTTGTTCATCTGTGTTTCTGATTGTTTAGTTTGCAGTGCTTAAAAATTAGTTAAAACTATTTTTAGTGTGCATGGCTGGTGGTTCATCTTTTACGGCCAGTCGTAACTGCAGCCATCATTTGGGCCGTTGCTTGATTCGGGACGCAGTGCTGTGGGTCACACTTCATCTTTCCATCGCCGCCGCAGCTGAAATTTTTTTTTGACAATCAATTAGCATAAATTAATTTGGCAACGTCAACTTAATACTTACGTGCAACTCATGCAAGGACCACTCGTTGATTGGATGGGTTCGCCCACCTTGTACGAACGGCCATTAATGAGACAACCGGTGCGTTGCACATCGCCGCCATGGGAAAAGCTTGACATGTATGGTGGCAGTTCAGTGCTTGTTGTTGTCGTGCTTGTCGTAATATTAAGCACAGCAGCCATTGTTACGGGACACTCGTATCGTGGGCAGCAGAAGCCTGTAATTTGCTCCTCGTGACAGCCAGCAATTGGTGGCGGACAAGACTGTTGCAAGCAGATGATATCGCTTCTGAAGCAGAAGCAGAAATCGCAAGGATCGTCGCGTGGAATTTGTTGCGCAGACACGTAGATTTTGCCAGCATAGCGACAGGTGCCAGGGCCAAATACCTCCTCTTCGTCGTATTCGTCTTCGGGGTAAGTTGGGTATTGCTGGTGGCCATATGATGGAGGTGTAATCGCCTCGTGCTGTGGACTAGATGCTGATGTTGTTGTGAGCGGAGACTCTGTTGTCGTTGTCTCCGTGCTCTGCTTCGTTGGTGTAGCATCAGTTTCTCCTTCGGACACGCGGTCGTCGATGACTGGGGCTTTTGTAGTGCTAGTGAAGCGCTGCGCGAACAGTGGATGCACCGTGGTGACACTGGCGATATCTGGTTGTGTCGTAGCAGTGTCCTCGCTAGATGTTTCTGCAGATGCTTCATCATACGCACCAGGAGTAGCAGTTGTCTGTGGTAACTCTGAAACGACGGCCGTAACTTCATCCTCATCCTCAGGTTTCTTTTTAGCAGGCTCTGTAACGGTGTCCTCAGTTTCAACAGACTCAGCACCTTCTTCTCCCTTATGGGTATCCTCAGATACAGCAGTAAGCTCTTCCTCCGACTCAACAGATTCTTCGCTATCTTCGGCCGAATCCAAGCTTGGCTTAACATATGGTTTGTCCGACTCTGGAGCCTCAGTAGATTTTGTTGGGGTCTCCTTTTCGACATCTGGCTGTCCAGTTGCTCCCACAATTTCATCCTCTTCCACAGGCGCCTTAGTTGAAATTTCATCTGTTGTTGGCGATGGTGTTGGTGGCTTCAGCTTGGCACCAGTAGTTTGATCAGTGGTGCCTTCATGTTCAACATCACTTGGCTCAGTAGATTCCTCACCCACGTCTTCTCCATCGGAAGGTTTTTGGCTAACTTCGCTAGTTGCTTCAATATCATGAGCAACAGGAGCAACTGTAACTGGACTCTTATCAGCATCTTCAGCAGAAGTTGTGGCAGCTTCTGCGTCGTCAATCTTTTCGTCTTCAGTGTGAGGAGCAACAGTCTGTAATGTATCATCGATTTCTTCAGCACTAGGAATATGAGTTGGAGTAACTGTAGTGTCCAGTGCAATTGTGGTTTTGGGTGTGGTGGGAATACGAGCAGGCTCTTGGTCTTTCTCGGCAGCAGGTGTTGTTGAAATGGTATCCTCAATCGGGCCTTCGTCTGCAGCACCTGTTTTATCGCTAACCGGACGGGCTGTGGTATCTTCTGTATCATCATCTTGAGCAACAATCGCTGGTGAAGACGTACTAACATCAATCTTGTCATCAGCGGCTGATGTGGTTGCATCATCTTTAATAGAAGTAGCAGAAGGTGTGGTTGCTTGTTGAGTTTCCTCTTGGGAAGAAGGAGCAATGGAGGTAATCTTCTTATCATCTTCATCCTCTTCAAGCTCATCCTTTGCTGGTGCTTTGGTTGGCTTATCGGTTGGTTGAGAAACTGTGGTGTACTCTTGGCTATCATCTGGCTTAGATTCAACTTCATCTTGAGCGGGTAGCTTAATAATCTCTTCGTCGGTAGGTGCAATAGTGGTCGAATCTGATTTATCGTCGGCAGGCGCTTCTGTCGGGACCACCTTAATAGGAATATGTTCATCGTCCTCCTCTGAGGATGGAATAACAGTTGTGTCTGCATGTGGTTCATGATCAATTTCTTCATCGGAAGTAGTAGGTGTCGTAATATCTTTTTCGGGCTTAGTTGTGGATGGAGCCGTGGGCAAAGGCGGGAACTTCTTGTCGTCTGTAGACTGTGGCTCAACAGTGGTTTCGGCATAGATGTCTTCCGTGCTATCCTCTTTGTCAGATGTGCTGGGCATCTTTTCATCAATTGGTTTAGAAGGTTCTTCCTCAGAAGCAGGACTAACTGTAGTAAATTTGTCCAAGCCTTCACTTTCAGACTCCGCTGGAGTCTGAGTTGATGACTCTGGAGCCTTTTCGCTGTGAGAGGGAACAGTTGTTGAAGGTATTTCCTCGGACACTTCATCGTCCAATGGCGCTTTAGGACCTTCAATGTCAATCGGCTTATCCTTGTCTGGCAATTGAGTCTGTTCCTCCGAACTGGGTGCAACGGTTGTGACGTCAATATCACTCTCTGAAGTTGGCTTCTCTCCCTCTGTGAGTGGCACTGAGGTTGATGTAGCTTCGGCAGGCGACTGATCAGTTTCTTTGCTTGGTGTACTTGGAGCAATGGTTGTTCCAAGTTTCGCACTCTCGTCAATCTCCGATGTTGTGGCAGTGTCTTCTTCTTCTTTGTCGGATGTTTTCTTGCTGTCGTCTTGAGCGGAGGGAGCTGCTGTGGACTCTGTATCTGGGGTTTGTGATTCTCCAGCCTCAGATGTGGAAACCGTTGTACTCTTTTCATCTTCTTCAAAGACTGCAACGTCTGTAGCAGTGTCAATTGTGTCGTCTTCTTGTTTCTTATCAGAGGGTGTAGTTGCCGAGATTTCAGGAACTTCACTGTCTTTTTCTTGATCTGGTTTAGTTGGAAGCGCTTCAACTTCTGGTTTCTTAGATACATCACTAATAGGAGCGTCAGTTGCATAGGGCTTCTCTTCCGATTCATCCTCTGTTGATTTTTCAGTGCTGGTCGTCGTATGGCTAGGTATATCTTCCTCATCTGCAGTTGGCGAGCTAGTAATAGATGGCTCTTCCTTGTCATCAGCAGTTGGAAGAACAGTAGCTGAAGGTACTGAAGTAGGCTCGATTTCAATCTCGTCCGTAGCAGGTGTGGCAGTTTCATCTTTCGATGGTTTCTTTTCGCCTTCCTGTACTGTTGAGGCCACAGTTGTTGTTGGGAGGGGTGCAAAGTCATCTTCAGGAGAAGTAGAAGGCTTTTCGTCATCTTGCTTTTCAGATATAGGCTTCTCTGTGGACAAATCAGTTTCTTCATCAATAGCAACAGGAGATGCAGTGGTGATATCCTGATCTTTGCTGACAGCAGGAGTGGTGGTGGAGTGATCATCAGAGGTCTCTTCTTCTTCTTCCATTGATGGAACCATGACAGATATATCCGATTCCTGGTCTGGTTTCTTGTCAATAGTCGACTCAGTAATTGTGTCCTCATCTGTAGGCTTCTTTTCATCTTCTTCCGATACAGCTGGTACTTCCGTGGTTGCCACTGGGATCGCCAGTTTCTTGGTGTCTTGATCTTCTTCAGTATCAGGGCGAACAGTGGTAGCAATACCATCTTCGGGGGCATCAGGCTTACCAGCAGGTGTAGAATCATCAGCCGGGGGAACCGCAGTTGTGATGTTCTCAATTTCAGATGGGGTGGTTGCGGCTGCGGGCACCTTTTCAGAATCGTCAACTGGTTTCTTATCAATATCTTCAACAGGTGCCTCTGTGGATGACGGCTCTTCCTCAGATTTACTGGATGTCTCAACAGATGTAGGAATGATTGTAGTTGTCGAGATCTTGTCTTCTTGGCCTCCCAGTTTTTCGTCAGCGGGTTTCTCCTCCTTAGTTGGTGTCTCGTCATCCATTGAAATAGGAGCAATAGTTGGAGTAGCCAACGTACCGTCTGTCTCCTTTTGGGTTTCATCTGCAGCTGAAGGAGTCGTCGTGGTTGGCTCATGTTCTGGTAGAATGACAGTTTCCTCAGTTGTTGGTACTGCAGTTTGCTTAAGGCCATCATCTTCAGGTGAGGGCTCTTTCTCTGAAGGCTTCTGAACTTCTTTTTCAATTTCAGGTGCAGTAGTAGCGCCCACCACTTCATCAGCCTCTTCTTCAGTAGAGTGCTCGTCGGTTGTTGGCTTCTTAATATCCTTAGGCGTTGTAACTTCTTCAGATTCAGGAGCTTTCGTGGTTACGGCTGAGATTTCCTCTTCGGGCTTAACATGTGACATTGGCAGTTCAGTAATGCCAGAAGGCATAATGACATCCTTTGGTACGTCTTCAGTGCTTGTAGGCTCCACTTCATCATCAATTTTGTCAGCGGGCTTACTTGTTTCGGGCAAGATTGTTGTTGATCTGGTTTCGTCAGAAGTTTCCTCGACCTTCGGAGACGTGGAATCAGCTTCACAAATGTATGTTGGGCAGCAGCCGTCAGAGCGGCCAGTATCCAGAACACAGTTTTCATGATCCTCGGGAATTCTGCACTCCATTGGCTTGCATAATACAATGCTGCTAATACACTTGCAGGATATATCGCAGGGTGTAGTCGCTGGTACGTCGGTATTGTTGGCATAGGTTTTGCCTGCAACCAGGCAGTCACCTTCTCCAGGTATAGCGGACGGCAGCTGCATATCAGGCATGGCTGCAGCAGTTGTCTCCTCATCTGAGCTGGGTGGCAATGTAGTAATCTCTGGGGCCAAGTCATGTCCGATATCAACTGGGGTGTCTTGTTTGTCAGGTGTAACTTTGCCAGGCTCCTCTGAGGTAGATGCTGTGATACTTTCTTGACTGGTTTCTGGGACTTCAGTGCCAGTTTTAGTTCCTTCTGTGGAGCTATCATCTTCCATAACAGGCGGCAAGTAGACTGCGGGCGGCTTATCGGTTGTAGCTTCTTCGCTTTTGTCAGGTTGTTCAGTGCTTTGATCGTCTTCAATGCTTGAAGGAGTAATATCAGACTTGACAGGCACTGCTTGGGTAGTTTGGTCTGCATCTTTATCCTTTTCAGCGGGCTCTGCTGCACTGGTAGAAGACGCAATCTCTTTATCTGCTGCGAGAGTTGTAGCCTCGTCACTATCCTCAGTAATTCCTTTCTTGTCATCCTTTTTGGGTTCCTCAGTGTGATCCTCGTCAGATTCTTTCTCATCGCTTTCCTTATCTTCAGGTTGTTTGGGAGAAACTGTGGTGCTCTGTGGCGCTGCAGGTGCCTCTTCTTCTGAACTGGTGCTAGAAGTCTCCTGTTCACTGACACCTTCAGTAGTAGATGATGAACTGTGAGGAGCTGTTGTTGTTGTCTGCCCATCTTCCTCTTCTGTGGAGTCTTTGTCAGCTGAGCTTTCAGGCTCTGTTGCTTGGTCCTCTTCAGTTTTTGGTGTACTAGACTGGATTGTCTGAACTGCAGGAGTTGTAGCCTTGATCTTTTCATCTTCGATGCTGATGTCCTCAGCAGAAGTCGTGCTAGGAATGAGTTCTTCATCGCTCTCAGCATCAATGGGCTTAACGACATCCTTGTCTTTCTCACTACTAGCCTTTTCAGCAGATGGAGTAGTCTCGGCAGAAATTTCTTCACCGCCGACCTCTTCAGCAGCAGTTGTAGCTTTGTCAGTATCTTCTTTAATTTGCTCTTCGCCCGCTGGAGTCGTGGGCTTGATAATTTCATCTCTGGAAGTGGTTTCCGTGGCAGGAGTTGTACCCTTGATGATCTCCTCTTCAGCGCCGACCTCTTCAGCAGGAGTAGTGTCCTTAGCAATATCAGTATCATCACTAACATCCTTTGCAGGAGTTGTCGTCTTGTCAACCTTTTCATCACTAACGGCAGCAGGAGTTGTAGCCTTAACAACATCATCATCACTATCCTTGACGATATTACTGTCTTCAGCAATGGGAGTTGTAGCCTTAACAGCATCTTCTTCAGCACTTTCATCTGCGGCAGAAGTGTCGGGCTTACTAGTATCCTGTTCAACAGTTTCTGCAGGAGTTGTTTCCTTGATAATATCTTCTTCACCGGTGACTTCCTTGGCTGGCGTCGTGGGCTTGATAGTGTCCTCATCCTCCTTGACCTCATCCTCCTTGACCTCATCCTCCTTGACCTCGTCCTCCTTGACCTCATCCTCCTTGACCTCATCCTCCTTTTCGGTGTCTGCAGTTGGAGTTGTAATCTTGATGTCAGATTCCGCAGCTGGTGTTGTAGGCGTTGCAACCTCTTCTTCATCTTCTTCGATTGATGGAGTTGTAGCCTTTGCAATTTCATCCTTACCGCTAATATCTGAGGCTGGAGTCGTTGCCTTGACATCATCTTCTTCATCGCGCTCTGCAGTTGAAGGCGTACTCTTGGTAACTTCGTCCTTATCAGTAGCATCTGATGCTGGAGTTGTAACCTTGACGTCATCTTCCTTATCACTTTCAGCAGTTGGAGTTGCTTCCTTATCGCTAATGCCTGCAGCTGGAGTTGTACCCTTGACTTCTTCCTCTTCCTCAGCGCTAATGTCTTCCTTGTCACTGTCAGCAGTTGGAGTAGTAACCTTGACGTCGTCTTCCTTATCACTGTCAGCAGCTGGAGTTGTACCCTTGACTTCATCTTCCTTATCGCTAATGCCTGCAGCGGGAGTTGTAACTGTGATATCCTCTTCTTTGTCGGTAAGGTCTGTAGCTGGAGTTGTGATCTTGGCAACTTCATCGCTATCGCTAACATCTGTGGTTGGAGTTGAAGGCTTAATTTCATCTTCCTTATCACTGTCCATAGCAACTGGAGTGGTATCCTTGACGTCGACTTCCTTGTCACTGTCTGCAGCTGGAGTTGTGGACTTGATAACATCTTCCTTATCGCTAATGTCAGCAGCTGGAGTTGTCGCCTTGGCAACTTCTTCGCTGTCGCTAACATCTGAGGTTGGCGTTGAAGACTTAGTTTCATCTTCCTTTTCACTATCCATTGCAAATGCAGTTGTAGACTTGACGTCATCCACCTTCTGGCTGTCTGCAGCTGGGGTTGTAGGCTTAGTCTCATCTTCCTTATCGCTGATCTCTGAAGTTGGAGTTGTAATCTTGTCGACATCTTCTTCAACGCTAACATCGCCACTGGGTGTTGTTTCCTTTGAAGCATCCTCTTCATCGGTGACTGCAGAAACTGGAGTTGTAGCCTTGGAAACATCATCCTCGCCACTAACTGCCGCAGTTGGAGTCGTCTCCTTCGGAACTTCCTCTTTTTCGCTAACATCCACAGCGGGAGTAGTACTGTCCTGACTATCTTCAGCAACACTGACAGGTGCCACAGGTGTGGAAGATTTGGTGATCTCTTCTTCACCGTCGCCACTAGTTTCCTGGGTTGGCAATGATGTAGTGTCTTCTTCACCGCTACCTTCCTCAGATGCAGATGGCGCCTTATCTTCTTCGCTTTCTTCTTCAGTTGGCACTCCGGGCTTGCCAGCTTCCTGTGCTCGTGGTGTTGTGGCCTTAATGACATCCTCCTCTCCGCTACCTTCTTCGATCGACGTCGCTGTAGACGACTCCACTGGAGTATCAATTCTAGCATCAGTCGCAACAGTAGAGGTCTCGTGCTCCTTCTCCGTGAACTTATCCTCATGATCGGGCGCAATTGTGGTGTATGCTTGACCAACTTCACCACTGCCAACCTCATCCGCTGGACCCTTAGTGACCACATCCATATCTTCCTCCTCATCATCAATGTGTTTCTGCAGATCCTCATCCTCCTTTGGTATTTCACCGAGGATATCCTTGACAGGCGCTGCTGTAGTAATAGGTTCCTCATCTCGGATAGTTTCCAGAGTGGTGGATTCAATGATGTCAGTTGTGGCACTATCATCCTCACAAATATAATTGCTGGGACAACATTCGCCTTCGGCGGCTGGCATGGCATGGCATATTTTGCCACTGGCCGTACTCATCGGCATCTCGCACTCTTGTACGGCACACACAATATCACCGCGCATACAGTAGCAATGCTCGCAAGCATTCTTGCCCTTGATCGAAGCACCATCGGCGAAGGTCTCGCCATTGTGGATGCAGTCCGTAGACACGGACGGAGTCATGGTAGTGGTCAGAATAAAGCCAGGTGTTGGACGAACTGTGGTTGTTGTTGTTGAGTGATCCTCCAGCTCAAGAACATCATTCTCATGGTCTGCGATACACGAAAAGTAAATTAGATTTGTTTTTGAGAGAAAAATATTCAACTTCTTACCGCAGCTGTAGCGTACTGGACAGCACGAGCCTTTGTTGTAAATGGGTGTGCAGCCATCCACATGCAGGGTGCACTCCTGCATAACGCATTTGGTCTGATTGTTAATGCAGTAGCAGAGTTCACAAGGTTTGTTCGGATTCGATGGCACCTGGGCACCTTCCGGGTAGAACTTCTCCTCAATGCTGCAGCCAAACTTTTCGGGAATGCTCAGTTCAGTTCCTGGCTCGGGCGTACGATGTGGCACTTCGACATGAACTGAAATAGCAGCACGTAATTGAAATCACTGGCTACAAAAATATGGCTAATGGACCTTACCCACGGGGCAGGTAACGATAGGACAGCACTGATCCTCGCGCTTCTCCACAATGCAGTCCTGACCAATGGGCTTGGTGAACGGGCAGACGCGCAGATAGCACATGAGCATGCGATTGTGGCAGGTGCAGTTGAGACACGGCTCATTGGTCATGATGCGGTCACCTTCATTGTAATGTCCATAGTTGTAGTAGCAGCCCTCTGCAACGAGCGAAAAGAAAGCAGCGATTCATTAGAAACCCAGCTAAGTATAACTGGAGCAGACCTGGGAACCGTGAAACAATGCCTACCTCAACTACTTAATCTATGGCAGTGCAAGTAAAATGAACAGTTAGTTCCCTAGCATTTCCCTGTTATGCATTCATGACAAGCCTCAACTAGCTGATGTGTGCTACTATGTCGTTTCGGACATAAATTAAGTTCCAGCGCCAGCTAATGTCATAATACGTGCAGCTATAGATATCTTTTATTGCTCATCAGAGTCGTTAAACACACAGCCACAGCTCAAGCGCCAAGCAGCGCTTGACATAGGTATGTCTTGTCTATGGCTACTGAACACTGGGTACTGCTTGCTACCTAATTTACTGCCGTCCACCCGCAATAAATTTCGAATCACATTATTAACACGTTAAGCGCAACTTGCAGCAGCTCCCCGCCAACGTCTATTTCGCTAGCTTCAGCTTTGACGGCTTTTTGTTGTTGTTGGCCTGTTCGCCTGACTCGTTGGCTGAACAATATTTGATTGAAATCTTTGGTGTCGCTGTCTGGTGCTCACGTTTTCGTCATAAACCTCCTAAAACAGTGTTTATTTCTCTGTTTCATTTTTTTATTATGTGTAGTCTTATACCCTGTACCTTTAAGTAAGTGGGGTCTGCTACTTTTCAAGCCGTTCTTAGAAACTACAGACAAGGAAAATAATAATTAACATATAAATATAAATCGTTGATTTTTAAGCCAGTTTCAGACTGTCAGCTAGTGCAGGGTATCTGCTAGTCAGCTGCCGCATTTGAAAATGATTTCGTGTGCTTTTTCACACCTCAGCTAACAGCCAATAATGCTCAACATAATTCCCCATTCAGCCTGCTGGGTCTTATTATGACAGCTGTGGGTCAGCTATTGGTTGAATCTTTTGTAGTCGATTAGCCGTTTAGAGTCTGACAATGTTAAATGGACGAAAACTGAGGCTCAATTAACGCTAATGCTATAATTTCCAATCGTAATTGAATTATAAACTAAATGCTGCTCAAATTATTTTTATTTTTATTTGTTATTATTACTATTAGCCAGATATTTTTAGGCACTTACCTGTATAGGGTGTTATTTCCGTGTAGTCCTGCAGAGGGGCTGCAAAGAAATGGGAGAGGAAAGGGTATAAATTAGTTTTTTTGTTTTGTAGGAAATGCCAGAGGTTTTCGGTCTATTACGTAAGAATTTTATGATGACCATATCCGTTAGTCGTCATGACTATAATAAATTAATTTATCTATTACAGCGAATGCCAGACCTCTAATTGTAGCTGCATGCAATTGAAATTAGACGTCGGCTGTAACTTGCGTAGGCCGACGTCTAAGCTCTGTTGGTTCTTGGGGCTCTCTCGTTCTATTCTTGGTACTCGTTGATAGGCCAGCGTCGTCTGATAACAGGGCTCGACCGCCGCTGGCCAGCATGCAACAGGCAGCAGGCAACATGCAACAAGCTACAAACAACAAGCGGGCAGCAAATTGCAGCAACAACAGAAACTTTCGCAGTGCTCGGCTTTGTGTGCGTGCAACGTGTTATTACCACATAATCAAAATTCAGCAGCAGCAGCGGCAAAAGCAGAGAATGCAAAAAATAATGGCACGTAGCTGGTTCTGGGCATGGAGAATTTTGGCCTGTGTGTGTCCCACACTGGGCCAACTGCAACGAGAGCCGCTAAAAAATGGCTCAAACAAATTGTTTAAGCTGACAGTTAACCGGCAACGCGCGCGCCTTCCAACTGGCGGTCACTTGTTGCTGCTGCGGTGGCGTTTACACGACCACGACAGCAACATGATGTTGCAGCAGCAGCAACAGCAGCAGCTGCTAAAATGATTTGACAAATTGCATTTTGTTATGAATGGTTTTGTTGCTGCTGTTTATGCTGTTGCTGTGCCAACTATGATTAATTGCGGCCAGTTGAAGTGTTGACAATTTATCACATGTATCAAATGTTAATTTCTGCTCGACTGTTTGCCAGGCAGCAATATAACTAACAATGCAACGCAGCGAAAATCCTAACTGAAAATGCTCATAAGTATTTTATTGGCCAGGCTTTAAGCTCTAGCAGCAGCAGTAACAAATCAGAGTAGCAATTTCAATGGCAATGCTGCTGCTGAGGCATGACTTTTTCTGCTGATGTTGCTGCTGCTCTGCAACATCTTACTCATTCAAGCTAACGGATGTAAATTACATTTTATGCGGCAAGAAGTACAACAACAGCCACGACCGAGCCTGGCAACGCATAAAAATTCACACATTAACTGTTAAGGATCGCCAGCCTAGAGAAGCAGAGAGAGAGGGAGAGGGAGAGCAGGATGGTTGTAGGAGGCGACATTGGCCGTGCTTGGTAGCAAACGGCAATGGGAGTCTACCGTGCAGCCGGTTCGCTTGCGGCTCGCCCCGCCAACGTACTGCCCAGTTGCCCAGTTCCCAGTTGGCCGCCTTGTAATGCAAACTTATGCAACAATTTTCCGCTGCAAGTGCAACAACTGAAACAAGCCACATACGAGTTGTTGGCAGCATCAGCACGACGATGATGACCAAGACGCATGAGAGTCGTCGTCGTTTGGCTGCTGCTGCGGCTGTTGATGGTACACATCAAACATGGTCGTGTCGGTCCAACAAACAGAAGTCAGTCAGTCAGTTAGTCAGTCAGTTACTCAGCCAAGTTAGTTGTTGTTGTTGTTGTTGGTGTTGATTTGGCTGCAGCTTACAGCTACATTCACATGACTGCAGCTTCGGGCCAAGCCAAAGTTGTTGGCGGCGTTGGTTGCTGTTGCTGTCGCAAGAGTCGTGCATTTTGTTTATTCTAGGAAAGCGCGCGCACGCCTCGCATCCCGAATGTTTCTTGGCCATGGCCACGGCCATGGCCATGGCTGGATGGCTGCTGCTGCTGCTGCTGCTGCTGCTGCCTCCGCTGCTGCAGCAACAAGTTGAACGACCCGGTCGCGCATGTGTGCAAAAATGTGTACACAAACCATAAAATACAAGCCACTAGCTGGCTTTACTTACATAAGTAGGCCTAGACTTAGGCTTAGGTGCCGTAGCTCTGGCTCTGGCTGCGACTCTAACTCTGTCTCCGACAGCCGCATTGACCAGGCTAAGGCAGCGGGCACGCCTTTTGCTGGTTACGCTTTATTATTTAGTGCTGTAGGTGGCTACGCAGACGACGGTTGTGCGGAGGGCACAGAGACTAGCCACACAATCCAACAGCCAACAGCCAACAGCTACCAGCCACCGGCCAACGGCCACAGAGGCCAGACGAGGAGACAGCGCGCCTGGCATGTGAAAAGTGGAAGTTTCTCTAAATATTTCGTTGATAGCAATCGTTCCTTTTTCAATTCTACTCCACCGCTTCCTCTCTCTCTGTCCCTCATTTTCGTGGCTGTCCGCATGCGCTACGCGGAAACGCAGCTAGTGAAATATTTGCCATGCCACAAATATTTCAAAGATTACAAAATAAACACAAATCTTCCTTTGGGCCACAGCAATGTTCCCCCAAATGCGCCATTTTTGTGTGTGTTGCTGTTGTGCGGTGCCAAACGCGGCAGCAACTTTACCGCTACTTTGGCGACGACCAACAGCTGCAGCATCAGCAGCAGCACACCCACAGCATACACCCCACCTGGTCAAGATATATGTGTGTACGGCTAGCTGATAAGGCCATAAAGGCTAGAATGCCGTTTCGATGGCTCTTCTTTCTATGGGTGACAAAAGGCAGTTGCCAGCAACTCGCAGACTGCCTTGATATAGATGAACGTAATTAGAGCCATTCACGGTCGACTAGAACAATGCGCCAACAAGGGACGCAGATGCACCGACTGCACATGTAATGCATCGAACTATAATTGCCCAGTCTCAGCTGGATCGTATTGGCTTGGCTCAATTATGCAATTGCAGGAAAACAGAAATTATGCCAGGCCAACGAGAGGCAGCAAGAGCCATGCAAATTTTTTCTTGCACAAAACAATTTCCATTTTCTATGGCCTTGATCACATAATTTCCATAATGCCGAGTCGATCAATATGGAGTGAGCGACAAGCTAACAACCCATGCCCATGCCCATGCCCATGTCCAAGCCCAGGCCCAAGTCCAAGTCCAAGCCACAGACGTTATGTGTGTGCCGTCATATCATGCGCCATGCATCAGTGTTGAAAGCGGATGAGTTGCAGGCAAAGGGGGCCGACAGTGCGCCCAACGGAGGCAGCAGCCGCGCACAGCAAATGAATTTGCGAGTAATTTAACATGATTATGTCGGGGACAAGGTAGCAATGTAGACGTCGACATCATCCACAGCAACAGCAGCAGCCGCAGCAGCATCATCAGCGTCGGCTCCTTGGACGCAGCCAAATTGGACGCAGTTGCGCCAGGCTCTCTACTCGCCTGATGATGCTGCTAGTTGTGGGCTTTGGCTTTGGCTTTAGCCCTGGCGTGACGCTGTGTTTTATTACCAGCCGGCCTAGACATGATTCGTTCTAAGTAAATTATGCCCGTTGGTCATGACGAGGATGCCGTGAAATTGCTGCCTGTTGCTCCAGTCAATGATGCTGCCGCCGCTGCTGCTGCTGCTGCTGCTGCTATGCATATGAAACAATTACCAAGAGCTAGGCGCAGGCCTGGGCATAGGCATGCATCCAATCCTTGGCTGTTTATATGTGAGCATTGTAATTGCTGCAACTGCACCGCAGGCAAACGAGCATCTCATATGCATATGTATTTATGGCGAGTCTAGCCCTGGCGAGGGCTAGAGCTCAGTATCCCGGCAGAACGGGCAGTGTCATTAGACAGTCAGTCAGGTTGTCAGTTGGGGCGCAACTTTTGCTTTTTGACGTTTTTTTTTCGTATTTTTTCGTTGCCAATCTGACTGCTTAATAGATAATAATGAGTCTGGTCTTAAGTTTGGTCTGCAACTAGGAGTTGCCACTCGGCCTGCAGGCGCTGTAATTAAGCAGTTAAAGGCCAGCTTATCTTCGTAGTGGTTCCCACAGTTGCGCCTCGGATTGGATCCTAGGCAAGGCCTTTTTGCTTATTTCCCCAGTTGATGTGGCTTTTTATGTGTCCTGTGCTTGATTTGTTTTGATTGCGCTGCATGGCTTTAATGAGCCCCCATCGGGCCATCTATCTGTCTGTCAGTCGTAATATGTGTACGTGTACACATCTATTGCCGTCGGGCTGGAGCTAATCACAGATCCTGCCCACTGGCCGCATCTCCAGCTAGATATATCATAATTTTTGTTTGCGCAATTTTTAGACAAATTCCAAAGGCCCGTTACGTGCGCGGACGCGAAGAAAACAAATTGTCGTCAGGCGTTCTTCCTGCTGCTCTGCTTTCAGTTCTTGGCACCGCAAGCTGTTATTGATAACAGCGCATTGATTACTGCAATTGCTGTCGGGACGAGCTGCAGCTGCAGCTGGAGCAGACTAGAGCTTTGCCAAAATAACAGACAAGATCTATAATCAACGGCTTGCTCGGACGCTCGGATGCAGGTCGCTACTGACAAGCGTTCCGAGTGCAACTGCAACTATTGCGACTGCTGCAACTGTTGTTACAACTCGTTTTCAACCTGCGCATGCGTAACTGTTTATTAATTTCGGTTTGAGTTTGAGCAAGATCTAACCGTCTGCATTTGCGGCGCGTGTCCAGCCCCAAAGTCTTTCAACCACTCCACAACCAGCTCCAGCTCCAGCTGCAATGCCAGCTGACTGCGCTGACAACCGGAAGATTGATGATAATGTCCACCAGAAACTCTCACGTTTGGGCAGGGCTCGGCTTGCGGCTGTTTCAATTAGATACGCGCAACTTCGCTGAGCGCCTCATTTGGTAAAACATTCACGTGGCATTCTAGCGCTAATTGCTTGCCCCGCCAAGAAGTTGCCCCCTGGACAGCTAGCGATTTGTATCTGCTCCCACGACAACGACTCCGACGCCAACTACGACTCCGACTTCGACTGCGACAGCGTCTGCTTTTAAGCTAGTGATTGGCGAATGCAGATAATGCTGTTTTATAGCTAGTATTATAGTACTATAAAGTATATGTATTGCGTGTTTGGCAACTGCAGCATTAGAAGAAGCTGCTTCAACCATGAAAAAGACTTAATGTTGC